GGGGGGGGGGGGCAACACAAGGCAATGTATTTGCTAGAACTATACACCAAGTATTATTCGTTCTTCTTCTTCGCTAGTTCGTGTGTCGGGCGATCTTTAACGACTACCTGTTGCTTCTTATTTTCCGCAAGTTGCGCCTCCATTTCGCCCGAGAAACCGAATTCGTTCACTCTGGTGTGATCCGTCTTGTATATCCATCTTTGGTACAAAAATATGAAGAAAACGATGTCATCACGGAAGCAGCCGATCCTGTACAGAGTCGGCATCTTTATCACAAATGCAAAAATATCGTCGACAAATGTGTTGAGGAATTTGTAGGACAGCATACGCCACGGAAGATGCGCGACGCTCTTTAATTTGTAGTTGATGAATAGCTGCGGCGTCATCATGATGAAGCCGAAAGTCAATAGAAATCCGTACAGCATATTGAGAACCCAAGAGTACCAGCCCTTGTGCTCCAAATACATGAGCGAATAGATGGCGTATCCTCCTAGCAGCGGGTACAAGGCCCACGATAAATATTTAAAGGCGAGTCTGTCATACTCCTTCGTGGAAGACTCCACGTATGAGCCTTTATCTTGGAATGATATCTTCGGAAAGACCCCAAGTACTTTTGTTTCCCTGTTAACATTAATATCGATGACTTTGTTGATTTTCCATACTTCGATGCACAGGCCTATCGCACAACTAATGCGCACGACTGTGTTTGTCTCGTTGTCCAGAACGTAAAGAAGAACAACAATAGACTGGAATACATTAAAAAATACAGAGCGCACAGATAGACCTTCTAAGGACTTCCGGTTATTCCAAAATTGAATATCTGAAAAGAGAAAGGGATGTAGATTAGAAAAATCAATATATTACAAAGGCTTGTGTAGTTTCTACTTGTATATATGTTAAATAGATTTTTAGGCTTACCATTTTTAAATGCTAAGAATTCAAATACACTATGCAGAATTGACACAATTATGGTCAATCCTAGTAGATATGGGTTTGTCTCAAGTAAAGTCTCCTTCAGAGTATCTTGTTCATTATCATCTTCCCCAGTTACTTCTCCTAATTAAATAATAATAAATTAGCGAAAATTCAAAATAATAACAGTAGAATTTTATGTTTTAAATTGTATTATAAATGTACACATTCACATATATATATACACATATAGAAAGACACACACATGCATATATTATCCTAAAATATAACAAACCCATAAACGATGATGTCCATTTATTTCTAACAGATTGGGCCGCATAAATTTGCCACTTGAACAATGAAAGTGGCTGATAAGTTAATCTGAGTTCCAATTGCTCTACAGTATTATTTAATGGCTGATAATCCCGTTGCATATTCCAAAAATCATTTGTATATATTATTGGCTTATATGTATTTCCATTAGGTAAAAAATTTATGTCTAAAAAAGAAAAAAATATTTTTAAAATTGCATTGCAGAAAAATAACATTTTATTTAAAAAATTTATTACAGACATTCAATAGTCTGTCAGATATTAATGATATAAAAGTTTTAGCAAATTGTTTTGAAAAAATAGATAAAGCTAATTTTAGTATGTCATAATACTTTGGCACTTACTTTCATATAAAAAATATATTGGAAATGAAAACTTACATTCATCCAGTGGTTGTGGTACTTGACCGTAGACCCAATTGGTTTGATCAACCACCAAATTAACAGTCAGATTTGGGTGCCAATGTGACACATATTCTTGGTCCATCAGTGCAGCTTTCTGCAAGACATTACACATTCAGAGAATATATTTGCTACATAATAGAGAAACTTTACAAGTAACACAAACCTCTATTTCCTCTTTGCTAGCTGTGCTCTCACCAGTCAGTAAATTGTGTTTTTTTTGATATTTGATCTTCTTGAATTTATTCAACATTTTTTTCGTATAGGACATGTAATCACCAGCATAGATACCTTTACCAGCCTTAGGATTTGGCGACTTGCCACTCTTCGTTATATATATATGAAGATAGATAGAGCCATTATTCTTCAATCTTTCCGAAGGAATAAATGTATATTCGAGAACTCTTGAGCCATCTTGATTTGGCCCACTATACCAGTCTCCATAAACTAATCCTTCTTCAAACCATATCAAAGATTGCAAGTCGTTGAAATTTTTAAAGTTCTCGGATTCTGATAGATAAATACTAAGATCAAATAATGTCCCATTTGGGAATATATTTACAGCTTGCAAGCGTGTATCACTAATGGTATTGGGAGACTTGGAATTATTATCAGGACGTCTAAAGAAGCTACTAATAAAATAAATTATAAGAGCCCTTATGATTATCGATTTCGTTATGGCAAAAAATGATTCTAAGCGCGATGGCTGAGGTTTTCTCCTCTGTTCGTCATTCTCTGCATTTACCTGTAAGAAATATATCCTTATGAACGTTATCTTGATGTGTGTTGTACTCACATCGATATATCTATATATATAATTCGCGTATCAATTTTACTGTTTGTTTTATTTAAAATATCGAATAGACGGCGTATCTTTCACAAATCATTTCAAACATTCATTACAGGTGCACTATCACAAGGTCTTCCATTAAAAAAAGAATCGTGTATGCTAAAAGATATACTAATGCAAATAGAATGAACTTTTAACAGCAATTGTCATTATTCTCTTGGTACATTTTATTTTAAGAACCACACGAATATGATCGATAAAATCTTAACGCACACTTCTCTCGTCATTATTCTGTTCGTTCGTCGGAACCAGTTCGCTGTTGGATTGATTGTTATCCATGTTTTCTGTGACAGCTACTTTTTCGCCGTCACGATGACAAACCTCAGTAACCACCATTTTTCTTTTGGGTCCCGTGCTCCTTCCAGTTTGCTTCTCCATTAAATGAACGACACGTAGACGATGTATAATGAGTATATTTAGAAGATCAGCTGTTGGTGGCGCTGCCAGTGGCGCAGAAAGATTAATCACAGCTAACTAGGACAAGGCGATTTGTTTTAACAAATTATATATATAAATCAGATAAAGAGAGAATAAAAGTACTTTCAATTTTACAATTTCTACTTTCAAACGGGAAAGATTATATTACTATGACGTTATATTGCTCTTGATGTTCTATAGGATAAAGTAAGAAAGTATTTTAAAGGCGATCCAACTTTTTTACTCTATTTTAAACTGTCAATGTCAACTTCACTCCATATTTAATAAAGTATACAGATATTTGGTCTATATATACGTCATTGTTTATTGAATTCTGTCTGTTTCAATATAAAGGAAAATTTTGTCTGACTCACAATTAAATCTATCACTACTTCAATTGTTCTATCACCATCTTAAATCTATCACTACTTCATTTTTTTTTTTAATTAGAAATAAAGGGTGTACAAAAAAGTGTACGGGTCTAGGTGCTGAGCCTATTATCACTACTTCAATTGGTTACTGTGTACAGTGGTAACTCGTAGCGGAGACTTCAGAACGAATTGCAAAAATAACAGGTCTAACAATCGATGTGCGCTTGATTAGACCCATTATTTTTGTAAAATTAATTCTGAAATCTCCGCTACGAGCCACTACTATACACAATGACCAATTAAAGTAGTGAATAAGTTCATATTAGAGAGATTATATTTTTTTGGATATTTTAGATACTTATATTACATAAGACTATATCACACTATACCACACCAAAATTAGGTTGTAAAAAGGATAAGTTAAGTACTAAGTTACTAAGTTTCACAGTTTTATTTTCAGTTTTATTTTTATTTTTATTTCTGTTTTTTTTATGTTACGTTTTTACGTTTTTATTATGTTTATGAAATTTATGAAATATAAAGATAAGGTAGACAATAAGGATAACAATATCAAATTTTAAGTTTAATATTAAATTTAAGTTCAAAGATAAGTTTTACGAAAGAGTACAAAATCTATTATCAAGGCAAGTTCTAAACAACCAATGTAACATAAGTACCTTAAGACATATGCTATACATATACTTAGTAGTAAGATAACAACTTCTGTACCTGATAAGGAAAACAGACTGTATGGTTTTTTAAGCCAAATAAGCTAGCACTTAATGGCAATATATATTATATCAATAAAAAAACATTAAAGTAGTGATAGAACAATACAAAATGATAGAACAATTTAAGATGATGATAGAACAATTGAAATAGTGATAGATTTAACTGTGGGTTTTATATATATATATATATATATGTGTGTGTGTGTGTGTGTGTGTGCATGTATGTATGTATGTATGATGTACGTATGTATGTATGTATGTATGTACCTTTTTTATTTTGAAATTAGTTTAATTCTCTACTATAGCGGAAGTTTGCGACTGGTTTTAGCCTGTGTTATACATTATTGTATCTAATCCACAATACTTTAACGGATCGTCAAGATCCCACCAAGCGACGTTGCATTGACATTCGTCGGAAAAGTGCGCAACTTGAATATAAAATGAACAAAATGTCTTTCAAGTAACTCGTTATCTTTATTGACTCGAATTAAATTACCGCTTTAAGAACACATTAGATTTAGACGATGAGGAACGATCGTATCTCCTGTTTCTCTATAGTCTATAGTAAACAGTATCTTTTCACGCTGGCACGAACACGAGGTGTTTTTATATATCAATAATTACAAGTGACATACTGTTTATCGCTATACTAGCGTAACAATCTATTATAATTCATTGTGCGCAAAAGGATTGCGCGTGCAATCTGATATAAATAAAACACGATAACATTATAGTAAAGAGAACGCTCTCTGCTTCGTATATGATATAGAATATTAAATACGCAACAAAATATTTACAATTTCGCATATTTTGCAGTGTACAATGCAGATTTAGTCGCACCAAATGGATCTTTCTACATAGTAGAAGCTGTATCTAAGAACTTACAGAGAATCGTTAAGGCATGCGACGTTTGACGACGCAACATCCAACAGAAAAACGAACTTTGTTTTTGGGAACTCTAACACTAACAGTTCTGTCCCCAGAAAACAAATTCACATTGTACACTGGAAGCAGTGAAAATCCTTCGTTGATTGCAAAATCACAAAGCACGCATTTTGTTCTGTATTAAACACCTAAACTTTTACTGCATTATTCTGCTTTAAGGGGCTTTCTCTCTTTCCTTTTGATAGGATTCTTCTTGCAATCACTATAAATATTATTGAGATCAAATGCTGCCTTTACATTGTCCTGAAAACATTAGAACAGTGTAAATGAGAGAAGAATTGAATTGTGCAAAGAAAATTAAGAACAAACAGTATTATATTGGTATTTTTAAATTAAGTTTAAATGATACATACTGTTGAGAAGAGAAATTTAACAAGCTTTCCTTTGTGATCTGCATATGGACGTCGTTCCACTTCTTTGCCATCTTTAAAGAGTATCAATGTTGGCAATTGTTTGCTGGTGCTAGCATCACTGACACGATACTTGGTTGCTGCATCTGGATATCTCCCAACATCCACTTTGCCAAATTTAAAATTTTCTAAAGCATATCTACAAAATAAGCATATCTCAACATAGTAACTTCCAAACACAGATATCTCTTTATAATAAAGGAAAAAATCCAGTTGTAAAATGTTTACTCTGCGGATAGCTCAGAGAATATTGGTGCAAATGTTACACAGGCTGGATTCCATGCAGTATAGAATGCTACTAGCCAGATTACTCTGGTGTCGCGCTGTATTTCCTCTTGCAATCCATTGGCTCCATGTAGATAAATAATATTCTCAGGACCTTGATATGTTGGTTCTGGTAATACCAGCCCACACACTGCATATAAAATATAACATATTACTCTCGTAACATTTATAAATTGACAACTTATAGTTTAAACTATTTACTTACATATAAAAATAAATGCAAACAGTATTCCCATTCGCACATCAGCATAAAACCATAGGATCAAATTTGCTACTTTGGTATACACAAAACTAGAAGTTAAATAATTGATCATGGTTACGCTACCAGTCTTCCTTGTCCTTATCATAATGACAATCATGAGAAAAAAGAGAATCTCCGTTTCCCTCTAAAATATAAGAAATTGTTAACACAATAATCAAATATTATACATATATATGTATATATATTGAACTTCTGTTTTACAAATTTACACACACACATACCCCGTCGAGTTCGCAATCATCTTGAGCGAATATGTAATTACAGACTACAGGAATGCGCTTCGAAAAAATGTAAGAGATACTGAGGAGAATATTTATGAAGTAGTATGGCTTTAGGAGCAATCTCAGGTCCTTTCTAAAAGACATTCTGATAGAAAGTACACGAAGACAACGTACAACTGCGATCAATGCAGCTCGCGAACTGCACCGTCGGAGTATAAGTATTGTCGAATATTGTCACACAATGTTATTGTGATTTATTCAAAAAATACTCGCCGCCTCCCTGACAATATTTCCCTGAAACGAACACTATCTTGTGCATATAGTAGACAAGTATTGTCAACTATTTCATACAATCGTGGCGATTGATTCATGCGGGGAAAATGTCAATATACTTTGCGAGATTGTCGGAATTATCAGCATAAAAATATGGATGGACTTTTCGTCAAGATATTGGAGATTAGCGATGAGGAGAGAACACAAATATTTTTCGTCCCGGATTGTGTTTTTCGGATATATTCGAATCTTATAAATTTAGGTCATAAAACACGGCCTGGATTTGCGCAAGAGTGCGAATAGACTGTCATCTAATCTCGAAATAGCTCTATGTGCACTAAACGTTGAACTACGTCGATAATTTATTCTGTAGATAATATCGTGATTTTGAGGACTTTGGTTCTGTTCTATGCTATGTCCAATGTTATACAAACATAAGTAAATTAAACTGTTAATATCAACTTCACTCTATACTATAGCAACGTATACGGATATTTAGTTCATGTAGTATACATGTTATTGCCTATTGAATTTTGTCTGTTTCAATATATATCTTAGATTTGCATTCTATATTAATAATCATTACTTAAAATTTATCTCAAGTCAGATACTCAAGTCCAAATTCAGAATTAAATGAGTTCTTTAGTTAAACAATTAGTAATTATACAATGTGACGAATATCGTATGATTTAAAGAAGCTCTGGTATAACTTGAAATTCAGATCTGAGTACCTCACGTGAAACAAATTTCAAGTAAGAACTATTAATACGGGCCTAAAAGACCTTTCAAATATTCAATCTAAATTTTAGATAAGCTTTTATTAGTTTAAAGCTTTTCAACTTAATTTTCAGTAAATCGCACCAGCCAATAAAACCCAATGAAGAAACATTCTGTATATCATTGTTGTTTATCTTGCATTTATTTACAAAACATGCTTTGTAACTTTTATTTACATTTTATTTTGTTTTATCAATTGTCACCGTAACTTATGTTATTTCTGTCGTGAGTAATTGCTACATTCCACTGAGAGCAATTTCGGTCCCGAAGTTGGATTTGCGATGTAATATGGAAACAGAGCCATTCCGTTACACGCTGCGCCGTATTCCCCGTTCTTGTTCAACGCAATTACCCCACCGAAGAAGGCAGGATAATGTTGGGCGATTCTGTTAATCGCCGCTCGAGCGGCTACAGTCGGCGTAGCACCATAACGCATCGCTTCTACGGCCAAGAAACTGTAAAAACGAAGTTCCATTTAGTCATAACAAACAAACAATACCGAGAACATCTTCAACCCAGATAGATAGAGACGCTGAGAATAGCGGCTTGGCTATGTAAACATTTAATTTTACGATGCTATCATAACAGTACAAAGTATAGTGTGTACAAAGTACACAGTACAGTGTGTTTAAAATATACTTTTGTTTTAAGAAATATTTATTTATTATGTCACGGTTTTATTCAAAATATTTACTTTTTATCAGTACAATAATACCGGATTAATTGTATTCTTTTCCCGGCAAAATAAGCAACAATTGTCATGGAATCAGATAACATCTTTTATATACTGAAAAATTTTTTGTTATTAAGACGCATCTTTGCGTATTTATGCCAGTTAAACAGATAATATGCCAAAATATGTCTATCTGGGAAGTATCGGTGACGAGAATTCAGTCGCCCGCGTCGACGATCGCGAATTCATGTTAATTTTAATATAATTAAAATAAAATCAATTTTGTGCACGATACCTCGGTAAAAATCGCATCATAACGTCCCCGTCACCAGTGCCAGCTGCCGCGCCAACATCTTGATCGGCGTATGCACCAGCTCCCGCGATAGGAGAATCCCCGATACGGCCGGGTATCTTGTTTTTGGCGCCGTTCGTCGAAGCACCCGCTGCCGTATATCCCTCTGAATCTATCGCCAGTATAGCAATCGTATCATGATTTTCCTCGCTTCCGATTAACGAGTACTCATCGTAATCGCTGTTTTTCTCGTTGTTTGGACGATATGGTCCGCAGCTGGTAGTAGGATCTGGTAATACGTTCTAAAAATGTTCAGCGATCGCAATTATCTCCTTATTCTTATATCCTTATGTTCTTATAACTATTCTTCTTGCTTCGGTCAGTGTAATATCGACAATAGAATGGAGAAAAAAAAAGTATAGAAAACTATATATATATATATACATAAATTTTGTCTTTAAATAGTCATATATATAATTATATGTAATTATATATTGCCATATATACATAGAAATAAAATTTATATATAATTATTTTGTCCTAAGTTATCTTAATCGATCTAGCATAATAAAAAGAAAGTGCTTATAAATTATATTCTTATACCTTCCAGAAATTGGGTTGACAATTCTTGGTTTTCCATTGCATCCACATGTCTCTGGATTCATTTGTCTCTAAAGATTCTTCCTTAAATCCCATCTTCAGGGCAAAGTCTGTAGCCAAACTCCCACCTAACAAAGAATGCTTGGTATTTTCCAGCACTTTGCGTGCTACTGAAATAGCACTCTTCACGTTCCTTAAGCCTCCTACTCCACCCACATTCATTGCCAGTCTGCCAAGAAATATATTTTTCCTTTTTATCAATTATATCCATTGATGTATATTCTTGTTAAGTAAAATATTAAGTTATAGTCCATAAACATGTGTTATTATTTTTATTACCCATCCATAATTAAAGCATCCAATGTAGTTTCTCCAGTCTCATCTGGACTACCACCAAAACCTACAGTCTTCCTGCATTGTTGTTCTTCACACAGAGAACAGCCTTCTTCTATTGCATCCAGAGCACTTCTCTTTTGATTATGAATCACATCCCATGCTTTGAAAATATATAAGGATATTTTTTAATTAATATATTTCTTTCTAGATTCTTTAAAGTCTGTTGTTTTATATGTTGAATTTTTCTTTTTAAATTACTATTGCAACATAAGTACCTTTTTCTGTAGCTTCTTTATAATCCCATGTAATCACTACGACAGGAAAAGTGTTATTTGAAGTATCAGCACTTTGTTTGCCAATTACCTTCACAAATAAACAATTTATTGTTCCATAAAACAGTAAGATCACAATAACAAAGAGCTTCATCTTAATTTTCTGAAGTTTCTGAAGATAAGTTATTGATAATATGTGAACTTTACTCTGAAAAAAGATAAAAAGATTTTAATAATGTCTATGCTTATTTTTGATACAAGATCTGTCTTTTATCACTAAATTACTATAAACTTGTAGAACTCAAATAAAACAAGTATATAGTTGAGATTTGATAAAAAAGAGAAGAAAACTAATCATGTGTGGGAATAATTGCAGACATTATTTATATAGGGCGCGTTCTTAGCGCTCGTAACGACGCGAGCGTTATTCTATCTTTGTTGCTCATTGGATATTAAACAAAGATAGAATGATGCTCGCGTCGTTGCGAACGTAAAGTGGAACGTACCCATAGACCGGTATTCATAGTTGAATCTTATTTCAAGACCGTTTTAAGTAATGTCTTAAGATGTGAATATGGCTCTGTGGCCGGTATTCATAGTCGAATCTTATTTCAAGCCGTCTTAAGTAATGTCTTAAGATGCGAATATGGCTCTATGATTGGTTCATGACATCTTAAGACAGTACTTAAGATGATCTTAAATATAAGATCGGACTATGAATACCGGTCTGTGATTGGTTCATGACATCTTAAAACAGCACTTAAGATGATTTTAAATATAAGATCGAACTATGAATACCGGCCTATATGTCGATGGTGCTGCCTCTTAAGGCGTACGGGATGAGAGAGAGGTTCCTTGTTTCCTCTCTTATCCTTATCTGGTTCATAGTATAGTCGAGAGCGGGAGAATGTGACTGGCCCTGGGTTAATCGCTCCGATTAATGACGAGGCGAATAAGTCTCTACTAGCCAATCATAAAGCTTATAAGTACTTTCGACCAATAAACGTAGACTGAATAACCCAGAGTGGATTAACCCAGAGCCAGTCGAACATGCTACAAGTTAAAAGTTAAGCTGAGTTCCCACTGAGCGCGTCACGCATCGCTTCGTCTGCTGCGTCACGAGTTAACCAATCAAATCCTCTAATTGAGATGACAGACGCGCGACGCACTTGTTCCAATGGAACGATTTGATTGATTAACTCGTGACGCAGCAGACGACGCGACGCGTGACGCTCTCAGAAGGAATTCAGGGATAATATGAAAAGTGACCGCACACACTGAATGGCAATAGTTGCGTTCAGCAGAGAAAGTTGTCTTGCAACTGTTGTAAAATTCGTGAATCTGATTGGAGTATGCTCTTAATTTTGGTTAAATCCAAGAGCATGTACCAGATTCACGAATTTTACACAGTTGCAAATCAGCTTTCTCTGCTGAACGTAGCCAATATTAAGATTATCTGATAGAAAGTTACTATTTATTATCAAATGCACGATGTAAACCAGGAGTACTATTCCGTAAACGCTTACCGACAATTGTCGGATCTGTAGACGTCGTTGCGCAGCTTTTCTATGGTATAAAAAAGCATCGACGTCTACCGATCCGACAGTTGTCGGTAAACGTGTACGGAATAGTACCCCAGGCCAATGATTTAAACTTATGAACGAAAGTTTAAGATATAAAAAAAATACATGTATTTTTTCTCATTTATTAGTATTCACTTATCGACTCATTATTAAGAAAAATAAAGCAAAAATGGTTCCTAATTCGGAGATTCAGCTTATGTTTAGAAATCAGCCGACTTAGCTTTTGGTTCAGACTGTACTAGACAAAGACAGAGCGCTGTTCGAGGCCTACAAACTTGCTCTCTCTCATCCCGCAACACTCAAAAGGTAGCGCGCGTTCCAGGTAGTATATATTTCATTGTCCAAAATAAACAATGCACCCTTTGAGTTTACACAGCTGATATATTAAAAAGTTCGCGATTATGGTTGATTTAGACGAGTATAAAGAACGTGTACGACTACTTAGAGAATATGCACTCGGGCATGACGTTTCAGAAGCTCAAACCACGGAAATATTCCAAGCATGTTTCCAGCATTTAGAGACAAAATATTCGAAAAAACCGAGCAGACTGTTGAAACTTTTGTTGCAGTTTTTTTGTTTGCTTCTTGTTATTTCGTTTGTATTCCTGATTTTGTGCAATCAAAGATGGTTAAGCGATATACTCGTGAGATTCTTACAGAACTCCATTTATCCTGGTTTATATACCTTACGTAAAGTGGCTGTACCTGTTATCAGTTTCTATCCATCTTTATCTGGTTTGTAAATATAATAATAAAGAACAATTAAAATATTGCGTTAATATTCCAATATAACTCAAAATATTTTGTGGAAGTAATTGTATAAAAAAATATATTGAGTTAATATATTTTACTGCTCTTATCATTTCAGAATTATATGATGAATGGTGTTTAATAGAGAATCCATATTTCTATGTCAATGATATGGATTGTTGGCCCTGTACTGTAGTTCATTCTGTACCAGACTTGACTGGTCACAATATCAGTAAATCTTTTAATGTTGGTATACCATTCACTAGAGCTGAGAATAATACAAAGGTCAAGATGAATGATTTAGTCAATATATATTGGAGTAACTATGATGTCTTTGATCAGGATGCTAAAAGAATCATCTCGAATAACGAATCTCTCAAGTGAGCTTCTACATGCAGAATTTTCATATTTAATATTAAAATAAATTTCTCCACTTATAGAGGGAGAACAAATTAAACATGACAAGTTAAACATGTGCATTAAATATTAAATGTTTATAGAACCATACATGATACCATGGTTAACAGACTGGATATGTATCCAACTGATTCATTCACCACTCATGTATTATGGAAGATAAATCGCATGAAGCCTAACAGGATACTACGAAAGTTATTTCCAAAACCAGCTGAAGTTCCAACTTGGTGGAGTCAAGGCACAGAGAAATTTGTCTTTATTGACGAATCAAAATCACCACCTTATTCATTGGTACAAATACAGAATTGTTATTATAATTCAGAAAGATACAGTAATTTATATAAAAAAAGATTTCTTAGTCTCTCAATAAAAAAAACTATTAATCTTTAGACCACCGGAAAACCTAAATATAGGCGTGAGCTGTGATCGAAACTTTGTATATATTTATAAGGTGTGGTTTTAGGTGATTTTTTTTAAGGGATTCAAACCCTTCAAACTTCTAAAAATTAAATAAGCCAATAAAATGCTATTACTTGCAAATATAATGCATGTTGTTTCAGTCATAATATGCCATTTGTTCTTTTTTATTTATAACATATTTTTTTTTTTACATATTTTCAGCCTAATCCCGAATGCAGTAATATTGTGATACGATGCGCAGCCGGTGCAAGACTGATAAGGATGACACCAAGTTCAGAGTGTGCACAACATTGTAGATCTTCTATCATCTTGCTGTCTGCTGGACATACACGTGAGTATCAATAATCATCAGCAGCACAGAACTGATTCTCCTTTTTTTTTTATTTGCCGTAATTAATCATACTTTTTTCATTTTCCTTTGCGCTTTTAAGTATGGTACAATTGGTGGTATTGGAGACCCGTGAGTCTACCTGTGTACAATGCTACTGATCTCTCTATTGGTTATCTAACTTCGTTTTGTTAGCACCATCGATAGGAACATTCATACGATGTGCCAAAGTGATGTAGCCGTCTGTCATACATATATATATATATATATATATATATATATATATATATATATACACATTTAAATTGCGTTTAATAAAATTTTATATTAATTTTACCTCTGCATGTTCTTTTTTATTTTAACTCGAATATTAATATACATATTTGCATTGTGGAACTCATTTGCATAGACTAAAAATCTCAGTGTCTTTTCAGTGTCTTCAATATCTTTTCTTATGATAACGCATAAATTGAAATCAATTTTAGCGGCCTACTAAAAGAATTATCCTGAGATCACTTTTCCACGTGACATTGTCTAAAATATAGGCGTGTTTATAAATTTATAGACATATAACGAGTGTGATAAGACAAGCGGCTATTCGACTCTTTCGTTTACACATAATTTAAATAAATTTCCTTTCTAAACGATATTCGTGATCTACGTAAAAAACACATAGAAACACATAGAAATCAATAAAGTTAACAATAAATAAGTTATGCGCAAATTGTACTTGTAGAAATTCATTATACTACTGTATGATCCGTGCGTGTAGATGCAAATAATAATTCCAATGTAGGACGCGAAGAGAAATGGATTTGCGCGGCTGCTCGCCATGCTCACCGGTTATTTGCATCACGCACGGCTCCTTTAAATTTCTCCTAAGGTTTCAATTGATAGAGTATTTCGCTCCTCCACAATGGCGTGCGATTATCGAGGAAAGGCTTCCTCCACTTGTGTGAGATATCGGAATGTCATGCTGATTTCTCCAACATCAGAGACCAATTCGCGTCTATTCGAACTTCTGTTTGAGCTTCTGCTTGTATAACACAGGCACTAACGAGAGCAACGCGAACACGCACAGCATGATAATACTGTTCCACGACCACGCGTCGCTCGACGACGTCAGTTTGTGCAATGTCTGGCCAGCTTGTATGGCGACGAAGGAGGGTGGCGCGACCCCAAAGAAGGTACCGACAACGAACGGTGTCATCGGCACGCCGATCACTGGACTGGCCAGATTGATGAACCAGTTCGGCAAGAACGGCGTCACCCTGAGAAACAGCATGTAGTTCAGTAGATTGTCACGATGCTTGTTCACTATCACCGTCCACTTGTTCGCCTTCTCCGGGAAATACCGATACAACAGTCGCCTGCCCAACAACGAAGACAACAGGTAGCACAAGGTGGCGCCAATCGCGCTGCACGTGCACACCAGCAAAAGCGCTATCGGGAAGTGGAACAAGAATCCCGACAATATCGAGAGAAAGATGGAGCCAGGAATAGCAAACGTTTGCAGGCTACAGATTGTATTGTTAAAGGAATATAACAAATATTTCATTGATCTTGTTCATATCAATCGTTTGATACATGTTTGAACTGGTAATTTTGTGCAATATTATCTTTATCTTGATAACGATACATTTCAATCATGGTACAAAAGATATGCGATATTTTTCCAAAGGAAACATCATGATGAGGACAAAGAAAAAGTTTAAGAATAAATTTTTTTAAGTAACGATATTTGTTTTCAATTGTTATTTTGCATGTATTCAGTGCATTGCTTCCTCTTAAATTCTTAGTTTAAAGTTTAGGTTTTAAAAGAGAAATAGGAAGTCCTACAAATACAAAGTTGATGTTCTTCATCTCATTTGTAAAAATTGTTAATCCTTCAAAATTGAGTATAATTCTATCTTCTCTGTTTTGTTTAATACAGCAAACTTTTTGTACCAGTCTAATATATTAAAATTAACATGATATATTTTTTGATATATATCAGCTTGATGTCATCATTTATATGCATTATTGAAATTAAGGCAATTTGATAGAAAGTTACTATTTGATATGCATATCTAATGACTGATGTAAACAAGCACATTGTAATAAAGAATACTTAATAGCAAAAAGATGCAAGTATGTAACATATTCAAGGATACAAGATGTAAGTGACGAACACTCCAGCCAATACTTGGAAGTAATAGAGATCCTTGTATCGTCCTAATAACTTGCCAAGATTTTTAGCATCCTCTATGTGAAATGGCAGCTTCATATGTTGTTTCTCATCTCTGTAAAATATACAAACAATTTGTATATTACCTGTATTTGTATTTTATATAAACCTGAATTTCTATTTGATGAGATGAATGAATTGTCAATATAGAAAAATATGTATCAGACTACATATAGACTTACTCTTCTAATTCTGGGAAGCTCATGTATACATAAAATAATGCTGTCAGTGAAACTATAAAGATCAACCCAACAGTTAACAATGCTCTCCTTGTCAAAGCCTTCTCGTTGACTGCTTCGAATGCTATTATGAAATATGCATGGAAAAACATTTAATTGTTAGTAGATTAAGATAAAGATCAAGATTACACACATAAAATTCATAATCAGGAAAAAAAAACATCATATTTTAATTAAAGAAGGAAAAAAATATTGGAATGCACAAAATCAAACTTTCACAGTGAAATTTATAAATCATAGGTTATGTTACATCTCTCGCGTATCGTGCGAAAAGTAACAAGTGATTTTTCTTATTAATCGCGTCATGTACACAATTTTACACATATTATTGCAGAAATGCCATCGCATCAAATCCGATTTGCGTACAAAATACTAAGCACATGTGGATACATTGCTTCCTGATTAGAGTCCCTTACAAAAAACAAGATCCATTAATCATGCTTCACCTGTTCTTGTGTCAACTTGCGAGCTCATCTTTCGTTTCACTTTCTTTATTTCTCCCATCTTTCTGCTGAGCAATTTTCAATCGAACGCACTTTTTCGTGCACTTTTACTTATCTCGTCGTCTCCACACGTACGAGTGCAAATCATGCAGTACTCACAAATAGGGATGGACGTTATCTGTTAACTAAATAACCGTTATCGAGAAGTAATGTTAATAACCGTTATTAAATAACGATTGACGAACTAAACGGTTATTTTTATTGAGTTATAGTTTTACAAGAGCAATAATGTTTAAAATCCGAATCAACTGTTTAGGCCAAGTTTGCAAGCGTTATTCATAGGGTGCGGTCCAACAACCGTTACAAATGCTGCGAAGCGTTTCTCTCTCTTGTTCTATTCCTCGGTTTCGAGTGAAGAAAGAGAAAGAAGTAAAAACGCTATAAAGCATTTGCTGCGCTTGCTGGACCGTATCCATAGTCGGATCTTATATTCAATTGTTTTTATTTTTGGTATCGCCTTTTTAAAAACGCAGAAACATAAATATATTACATTTTCCAATCATTTGTATCAATCTGCATGTCACTCCTTTACGAACTGTCGGAAAATGAGTCACATATACACAGTCTAATAAAGAGTTAAAAAATTCATGTTCGACTGGCTCGGGGTTAACTCACTCTGAGTTATTTAGCCTGCGTTTATTGGTCGAACAAGTACTTATGAGCTTTATGATTAGCTAGTAGAGATTTGACGTCATTAATCGCTCTCGGAGCGATTAACCCAGGGCCAGTCGAACACGCTATAAGTTTTTCTCATTGGACCAACGGCTGCGTTCCGATATCTAACTTCGACATACGGCGTATTGCGTTCCAGGCCTTGAGGGTGTCTCCCCATGCGGCGTAACTTGTGTAAGCGTAACCTGCGTAATATAGTAATTTACTAGAAGTTACGCTATTTTGCAACTCGACATTCAATACCTAATCCCCATGGCGCGTATTTTGTTAAATTCGCGTAAAGCGTAACCAATAACTTCCTAAAGCTAACCAATAAAAGATCAGGCTTTCTATTGTACAATACAACAGAAATACTAAGTTGATTCTCGATGGGTTGTTATTATTTAGGCGTATTGTTAAATACGTACCATGGGGATAAGGTACTTTATATTTAAGAATGTATGAAAGCGTAATGTGCGTAATGTGTGTAGCTGTACAATAAGGTTAAGATAGTAGTTAATAACAACGTTGCCTATTGAGAAGTATAAAGGTAGGGAAAATAATTTATTACTTTTACTATATACTTAATCTCTTTACTCTAAGAAAAACTGAATTTTTTATTTTTTAACTCTTTATTAGACTGTGTAAAGTATATGTGACTCATTTTCCGACAGTTTGTAAAGGAGTGACATGCAGATTGATACAAATGATTGGAAAATGTAATATATTTATGTTTCTGCGTTTTTAAAAAGGCGATACCAAAAATAAAAACAATTTATAGAATATTAATAAAACATAAATTGAAAAAACTCAAAAGTAAAATTAAAATATTATATATATTCTGAATCAAATTTATTTTGCATCCGACTTCACATCGAAATATACATTTTATGATCGAAATGAACAGATATTACTTTGTTTTATTTGTTGTACTGATAAACGACTTTTCACAAGTATTATTTATTAGATTTATGAAAAATGTTTAAGAAGATATAATGTATATCCCAAACAGCACACGATATCCCATGGACGTTCTGTGGATGTCCTTAGGACATCGGGACGTCCTCAGGACATCCTCAGGACATCCCGAGGAGATTTGTGCTGTCTGGGATATATATTAACTATCATGCATTAACTTTTCGTAATAAATAAAAATAAAAAATTATTAAATATTTTCGT